TTTTCTTTTTTTTCTTTTTTTTTTTTTTGGGTACCAGTGATTGAACTCGGGACCTTGTGCTTGCGAGGCAGGCAGCGGCACCACTGAGCTAAATCCCCAGCCCCTGCCATCATTTTTTATTAGCTTCTCAATGTATAATAAATTTTTAGACATTTCTCATTATGTAGCTCACACTGCGCTTGAACATAATGATCTTCCTACCTCAGCCTCCTAAGTGCTGGGATTACACTATACCCTGCAGAATTTACACACACACACCACGGTACTAGGAATTGAACCCAGAGCCTTTACTCTGAGCCACATCCTTAGACATGTTTTGGTTGTTGTTGCTTTTTGGCAAGGTCTTGCTAAGTCACTAAGTTGCCCAGGCTGGGCTCAAATTTGAAGTACTCCTGCCTCAGCCTCCCACAGTGTTGGGATGATAGGGATGTGCCACCACAACCGGCCCATTACATATGTTGTTGAGTTATAGGAATCCTTTATATATATATATATATGTATTAGTAACAGATATACACTCTTCTCAGATATATATTTGCAAATACTTTTTCCCATTCTATGAGTGTCTTTTCACTTTCTAGTTTCTTCTGGAGCTCAAAATATTTTAACTTTGATGAAGTCCAATTTGCCTGTATCTTCTTTTGTTGTGCTTGGTGTCAGAACTAAGATTCCACTGCCAATCATTCCCTCCCCGCCTACTGGGGATGGAACCCAGGGCTCCAAGCTTGCTAGGTACGTGCTTTACCACGGAGCTAACTACCCAGTTATTGAGCACTATCTGTGTGCCAAGATTTAGAGATTCCATGGTCAAAAAAAACAGACTGGGTCTGAGTCCTCTAGTGGGGCAGGGGAGATATTCACCCAGTAACTGCAGTTGTGATTAGGACTACAGGAAGATGCACATGGTATCACGAGTGAGTTTGTGGGGGGTGCCAACCTAGCCTGAGGTAACATTAAATGCCCCAAAGAGTGGGCATGGGCCTGGTGAGGGACTGGGCAAGGGAGAGAGGCAGGGTCTAGAGAAGGAACAGCAGACAGGGATCCTGGAGTTTAGAACAAGGCTCTGACTGGCCAGCGAGGACTCTGTGGCAGGAGCATGGTGATGGTTGGGTGGGGTTAGGGAAGAAATGAAAGGACTTTGGGACACAATATAGAGTTGGGGGAAACATTTCTACAGCTTCATCCTGCCAAGTGCCAGCAAATAAAGCCATAGAAGGTCGTGAACGACTAGAGACTGTCCCTGCTGTACTGAGGAGGGAGCTGCAGCTCAGAGAGGCAAGTGCTTTGTTCAAGAGTCAGGATTTGAACCCAAGGTAAGTTGAGTATTGTACTTCCCACCACACCAGTGGTTTTGAATTTTGCTTCAGAGGCCATTGTGTACTATGTATTCTCTGTCTGTATGTCTATCTCAAATAGAGGTGGGCGAGGAAGGGAGATCTCAACTCAGTTTCATCCTTAGGTCAGTTTTACACAGGGGGCTTCTAGGTAAGTTTCACCAGAGCATAGGTTTTAGAGGACAAACTGTGGAGGTGCTTCCCTCGTCTGGGTCTTTGAAATGCCTGACTTTTATTGAAACACTGCTCTAGAATCACTTTGTTTGTGACATATTGGCTCCAGTTTTCTCCATGTGCCTGTCAGAGTGACTTTCCAAACTCTCATCAGGTTACTCTGCTCAGAAGCCTTCTATGACTCCCAACTACCTTTTGCTAAAGTCTGTTTCTTTTAGTGTGATCTGGACCTATCAGCTTATCCAGCCTTGTCATTTACCACTCCCCAGCGCCTACCCTCCCACCAAACCGGCTAACTTATGGCTCCTGGTGTTTGCTACAATCACTGGCCAGCTCCTTCTCAGTCCTGGAAAGCCTTCCCTGCACCTTCTGCTGAGGCCAGGGCCTACCCTTGGTGTGTCCTCAGCACCCCTTACCCCAACCTGCATGCTTACCTGTCACAGCCCTGCCTCTGTCCCTATCTGGCCTAGGCATACCACTAGAATGTAGTTTTACAACATCTGCTCAACTCCTGCTTAGCTCCCCTGGAAAGAGATTTCTCAGGGAATTTGCTTTCTCTTGGTGTAAGCATACCAGTCTTGCCTCGAAAGCATACCAGAAATGCCAATGGCTTGATGTTAGGCACGGGGAGTTTTCAGCATGGGAGTTTGTCGCCTGCAGCCAGACCTCAATTTTACATGGAGGAGGTAGGGTAGGCAATTATCACATGGTGAGAAAAATCTGTGGGGAAGAATAGCTGACTACGGGAAAAAAATCCAAAGCTGAAAGCCGTTTTCAGATCTTCCAGCTGACTTGTTTTTCATTTTGGAAAGGATAGGCAGATGCTTCTTTTGGGTCCCTAAATTTGCTAATAGTCAAAATGCTTAGCTTCCAGCTTTTCCTATAAAGAGACTACTGTTACAAGAGTGCCCTTTGAATGCTGAGCTTGTGCCAACCTGCCAGTCTTCTCTCCAAGCCAGGAGCCCGAAGATGCAGCCCTGTGGCAGGAAGCCCTGCCCAACTTGGCAGCTGTCAAGGGGGCTGTGGAGCAGAAACCATGGTCCCGAACCTGTAGAATGGGCAGAGGGGTGGAGGAGGGATACTAGCAGATGCCATTGCCAGAATCTGGGAACTGCTACCCCCCTCCCAGGTTCAATCCCTAGTGCCACAATAAATACAGTGGACCCTTGACTTAAGAACTATCTGTTCCTGAGGGAGGGTTGATTTGAAGTCAGTATAGCTGAGATCTGGATGTTTACCTGGGTACAGGCTGTAGATAACAAGAGGCAGGTGAAGCTTCCATTAACCTAATTAACCCAAGTTGTTCATATGTCAGGCTGGTCATAACTTGAGGGTCCTCTGTACATCCATTAAATAGTACTCTATTTCTGGTGGCTTGAGTAGCCCTCAATAGATTTCTGTGTTCTCTACTTTGATTCAACCACCAAAGAAAAGTTTATTTAGAAGAAAAAGGAACTAGTCCGTTACACTGCGTAAATATGGTTAATGGGGTAGGCTGAAAATGGGAACAGGAAGGGTCCAGATCATTTAACGGATGAGAAGACCTCATAATGGGTTATTAAAAGAAGTGAGGAATGTTTTTAGCACAGAGGGAACATAGACCCACCAGTTAGAGATGCAAACCTGGCTGGGCTGGTTCAGGATGGAGATTCTGGATTGTAATGACTCAGTTTCTCCAGTGTTCAAAGACTAGAGAACACAGAAGTTCATTAAGTGCTGCTCAAGCCTCCAGAGACACAGAGCTAGTACATTAACTTATTTATTGTGGTGTCAGGGACTGAACCCTGAGGTGCTCTACCACTGAGCTACATACCAGGCTCCTTAAACATCTCTGACATTTGAAGACAGGGTCTTTTTAAGTTGTCCAGTTGAACTCGAATTTGTGATTCTCCTGCCTCAGCATCCCGACTATATGGGATTACAGGCAGGCAGCCCTGCACCCAGTTATAGTACTATGTTAAAAAATGCAGTGTTGTCTAAGGCAGCATGGATCCTGGGCCACCAACTGCTCTTCCCTTTTGGGCTGAGTTAACCTTTCAGCTGCTATTTAGTTCATGCTATTTCTGAAGGGAAGCAGTTTTGCAAAACTACCACTTGTGTACTGAGTTATTTTTTTAAAAAGGTGGATGAGGAAAGCCCTATCTTGGAAAAAAGTAACAGATGGTGTGTCTCACTGGAAGGCACAAGTTAAATAAATCACATGACACCACAAAATATCAGTGACTGTAGAATTAGAGACTTCTCACCATCCTCAGGCCCCCTGGCATGAATAACTGCTTTAGGATGAGACTCATGCAGGAGGCCAGACCTGGACACTGTGTGTGTCTACTCAGAGCCAAGGTGGAGATGACTCCTTCAGTCTGGCTGTTTGGTTTGAGAAATCACCCCCCAGGGCCTGGATCCCTAAGCTTGTGGCCTGGTTGGTTTGGTGCCCTCTTCCCAGGAAACATATGCAGCTTCCCCCTTTGTCATTAAGAAGGACAAAAGGCACGCCTGTCATATGAAGGGAGAAAGGACTGCGCTTTAATATACTTAAGAAGTCATCGGTGATACATCAGAACAGTACTGGGAAGCGCTGGGTAGTCTCCGGGTACATCACCAGGGACTGACCACCCGTGCAGTGAGATTCAGCAATGGCAGGGTCAGGCAGGCAGCCGAGCATTTCCTCTGCACCAGTGCTTTACAGTTTTAACTCATTCTTCTGGTGAATGCTGCCCTACAAACCAGCGTTTCCGCCAGCCCAGAAATGGCTACAGGACACTTACTGTTTTTTTCTCCAAAGCAGGATTAGCTGGACCTTTTGGGTTTGATCCTGGGCTCTCCCTCCGTTAGGGGCTGCCCTAGCCTCTGGGTCCTTCTGGCTGGGACAGGTACCTGAGTCAGGCCAGTGTGGTCTGCTCCTCACGGGTCCAAACTGGGTCAGAGGCGCCTCTTCTTCGGTGGCGATGGTGGAACAACCCGAGGATAAGGCCTGTCTCTTCTAGCTCTCTAGTCTCTGTCGCCCTCAACGGTCTTGGAAGAAGGGGAACAGATGGCGGAAGAGGCCATGGATTTGCGCCACCCGGATGCCCACGGCTTCTTTCACTCTAGCCAGCGGGGTCGCCGCTCTGTGGTTCGTCTCCACGGCCGTGGCTCCCGCAGCGCTCAGGGTCCGTCGCGACGTCCACGAAGCGGCCCCGCTGCTGTTGTTATTGGTGTTGTGGCGATCGCTCCCGCACGCCGGCTCCCAGTCCTCTGCCCCCGACAGTTCCCGCAGACTCTGGGGGGCGTCGGGACGCAAATAGTGGTAGGCCCGGTGGCCGCTGTGGTCACGGCGCATGGGGTCAGCTCCCAGGGCGCCCACTAGCACCTTGATGACCATGTCGTGGCCCTGCAGTGCAGCCAGGTGGAGGGGCGTGAGG